TGTTCAGCACACTTTAATATCTATAATTTCATCCCATCCTCATGAATCTCCTTCAGGGTACATGCTACCGTTCCCCCTTTACGAAGGAGGAAAAGGCTCAAAGTGATGCCTCCCGGCTGAAGTCACACAGAAGTTATGGAACGAGAATGAGTCTGATAGGCTGTAGCTTTAACAGCCATAACTTACACCCCACACGCTCAGATTTTTTTAAGTTCTTTAGGCAGGTCACATAAATGACTCACCCCACAGTGGCCATGGCAGATGTCTGGAACTGATATTTTCCTGCTTTCACTGACCCACTAGAAGCTTCAGTTCCCAAAATCTCTAGATAAGTTGTTGCTCCCAGGGCTCCCTGGGCCTAAAAGGAAATAATAAGTAGAGAACATCCTAATTATATATGGAAAAAAAATGAGAGCAGAAAAGACCATTAAAAATAAGAACCAAAATTCCCTAGAAAATGGGAGAAAAAAACATTTAGACTTTATCTTGAAAACTAACTAAAATGTATTAACATATGTTAATTTTATATTTAATAAAGCATAGATTATACTATAATTCTTTGATGATTATTAAAATTAACAAATAATTCTTAAGATCATTTTCCAAAGAAATTACAAAACAGTATGATATGGTGCCCTTCAAGGTACAGTCATAAAGAGGATCATTTTTGCAAAAAGAGTTGAGGTTTCATCAATTTTCCCAAAGGCCTCCCTGCATCCTTTGATATTCAAACCATCAAATTATTTTCTTTGAAGCCTATCCTGTTATCACCCTTGTCAGTTTTTCTCTTCTTCAATTATTAAGTGGCCTCTGTCAGATGTTCACTTGTCAATTATTTTGTATATGATTAGAGAAATTCTCTACCATCCTTTTCATCTTTGAAAAATCCTGCCTCTTTTTTTCATGTTTTGCAGTTTCCTTTTGCAATCAAGTTGCAATATATTTGTGCTGAGTAGCCCAGCAAAGGTACTGACATTGTGGATATAGAAAAGTATTTTAAGTGAAGAAGGATATTTGAGTAGAGTCTAATTTTAATGAGTGGACAGTTTATTGGTACATGCTGTCATGGATTGATGCCTTTCACCCTACTCTCCTATATAACTTTAACTTTGGGGATGGCGATAAATAAATAACAGGATTCTCCATAGTAAAAAGGACAATAACTCCTTAGTCCTGGGAAGCTCTTCACAGACAGCAAGCCACTTTCACACCTATCACTTCATGTGATCTTAACAGCATCCCTTAGAGAGGTGGGGCAAGTATAATTACATGCATTTCACAATTGAGGAAATTGTGACTCAGCATGGTGGACATTTTTTTTAGAATTTCTTCCTAACCCACCACCTTCAGA